TTCTGTGGCGACACCCAAATAAACTGCGAGCGCAACCCCCTACCGCAACTGTTTGAAAGAACATGCTTCATTCGGTATAAAAGTCATGAGGGAGGGTTAGTCAGCTGTTAAGGGTTTCGTGGTTCGATTTCATCCCTTAGTTTCTTTATTGCGCACCTGTCAGAGATGAGCAAGAGTGGCAATTGTTGAAGTTTTTGCGCTGCGATGAGTTGATAGTTTCTGTAAGGAAGTGACTACCGCGCCCTCAATTGTCTCCGTTGTTGTTACCATTCATCCCTTAGCTTATTCAGTGTGCGCCGGGTATGGGTACTTCTCCCCGAAAATCGCGTCACGTTCGCCGCATCCGATCGCGCGACAGTCGCGCGCTATGAAGGGAAGTTCTGACTTCCCTGTGGAGGGATACGGTAATCGCCGCGAAATCACTGCCGTAGCCTGGAAATGAAGGAGCAGTATCGCCACACATGTGCTCCAAACAGTTTTTGACATTGTTTTGTTTTTTTGCCCTTCCAACAAGCTGTTAATTACTCGTTTTACTACGGCTTAGACAAGTTCGCAATAATTGACTAATAATTTTTTATTGCTCTGAAATCGAGCGCTTGGTAAATCCATTTCTTTGAAATTATGTTAACCTAGAAAGGTTCATTCATTAGGTTTCGAGGTCGTTTTTTGGTTTATGATGAAGAACCTGGACAGAGTCATGTACTCTTCAGTGAAATGAAGAGAATAATGATTGTGCAGGTATTGACAGCAGATTCGCCTTCTGAAAGCGAACCATCTACGTCCACTGGTCGACGAGGCTCTGTTCTCAAAGGAAGTGATCTCATTTCGAGGGTTGCAGAGTTCAGAAAAATGGTCGTGGACACATTCACGTAAGATTGGGCACCGAAGTGATTGACTGTCTGCCACCAGTATGCTATCTTGTTTAGGGAAGATGGTGTGAATCACAATCTTATGGAATTGTTGGTGTCAGTGCTAGAAGTGGACCTCTTCAACATGGAGGTAAAAACAAACACCGCACTTGGTACTGATTGAAAGCTTCATGTAAAATGCTAGATCTTGACGCTTTCAATTCAAAATTGATTTCTGTCAGTGATGTATTTAGGGTTGCGATGGCCTAGATACAAGCAAAGATGATACTGAAGAATGTGATTTACCCAGTCGCCTCTCGCTTTCTGCGAAAAAGTTGGTAAAATCGTACCGACAATTTCTTCAATTATTTCATCCTTCATTTTGAGCAATTCGTACCTGAGGTACATTTCGCGAAAGCAATTTCCGGTAACATAGAAAACGTAACTTTCCCGCTCTCGGTATGTCTCTCCTTACGACGTGCGGTCGGTAGATTTCTGAACATAAAGACGGAATGAATGGGGGGGGGGGGGGGGGGGGTAGGTTTTACAGGGGAAGTACATCGGATAGGGCGAAGTGACAATGATTTCATGCTTAACTTGACCCCTGTCTGACTTGTGCCAAAGCATTTGTAAATTAATGTCACGGTGCCTTGAACCACAGTCCTTAATTTTCTAAAAATAGAACTCTCTGTAGTGAATGTCGCGAGTTCTTATCCGTTGCGATGGAATGACCTGGTTTAGCGGGCATTCTGGACCACACCTCAGAATAGGCCGTGACAAACTTCTTACTCTCCTTTCGATCGCAAGATAGCGCTACTTCTGGCTTTCTTATCAGACTCACAAAACGAGTAACTCCACTCGTGGGTATATCACGAAATGCGCTCCCGATATATTCTTATTTTTTCATTATTTTCATTCATTTTATTCAATTAATCCAATTAATTCATTCAATTATTTTACCAATAATCTAAATAAGATGGTTTATGGCTAGTCAGTTTAAGAATGAAAGTTGCAGTGAACAGATGCTTGAACAGACACAGAATTCGTCCATTCTCGACAGCATTCCGCTCTCGTACTTGGTTTTTTACGATCCTCTTGAAAGAAGAAAACGTGGTCTCGATCGAACTGCCATAGAGACGTGCTTCGCTATCGTAGACAAGGCTGTATCTACTACATCCGTACGTGTTCTATGACATTTTATTTTTCATCCACGTAATAGGTATCACGCACTGTTTGCCCTCTACCAGCTTATCTTTCGAATTTTGAGCTGAGTTTCTCAAGGATTCCGTTGCTAGGTGAGAGGGGATTGGCCCAATATAAGCTGAGCACTTGTTCGCGGGGTTAGTTGAACCTGCTGAACATCAGTAAGATAGTAAGGTCCAAAACCGCGTGTACTCGTGTGCCTAAAAGACGTGCTGAATGGCGCTTTGCGCCGAATGGATGCGATCTTCACGTTGAGTGGGGTAAACTGCCCTATATGCAAAGTTCATACTAAGGTCTGATTCGGTGACAAGGTTGGAGAATGCTTCAGAGCAAAATTTTAGAGTTCGGCTTCTAGGAGGAATAGAGTGCTAGTTTTACGATCACTACATACTTTGCCTATTTAGATAATCAGCTCCAGTCTGTGCTGGCGACTGTTAGCCGTTTGCCTGGAAGGATTGCAGTACTGCCTCGCAGAGGTGATCTTCGTTATTTCATGTACATAACGTTTCTATATTTCGAGCAAGCTTAGTTCCTCAATCGCGGAAATTTGAGCAGCCTTCAATGCATCAAGCAGCGCTGTTTAGAAAACATTAATACTCTACTGTGTGACGATGCGGCGATAGTTTCGCCGTACTAAGCAATCATTCAGTTTAACGTCCAGGGGAAGAACCAAGGGTGGTTCAGTGGTAAGTAGCGCATTACCGCAGACGCATGGTGTCGATATCGCATTCCCGATCGGTACTCGCCTACGCCAACCAAGCCTTCCATCCCTTTGGGGTCGGTTAATTGGTGCCAGACTCGTTCGGAAAGATAAAATTTTAGATTTGACACCGACTGACCTTCGCAAGTCATTGTAAAGGCCACAAAGCGGCTTCTAAAGAAAAAATGTCCCTACAAAATGTATTGCTATGACCAGAGGCGCCACCACTTTATTTATTGACTGCTTTCATAGTCCGTCGGCGTGCCGGCGTGCCGGCGTGCCGAGGCGGTACTAGGATGGAGGAAAGCACACGCTCAGTCCCCCTTCGAAGGGCTGTAGACAAAGAGAGACAAGATCAAAAACCATTCGCACAAGCCCCCGGTTTTTTGATTTTTGGTCTTGTTCGTCTTTGTTTTCAGCCCTTCGGAAGAGCTGACCGACCGTCTGCCTCCGACACGCCGGCACGCCGGCACGCATGCCGTCGGACTATGAAAGCAGCCATAAGCGCTTGTTTTGTTTGGATCAGTTAGGTCTCTGATTAACCGTAGGTGAACCCCCATCCCTTTAATTTATGAGAGGGTTGTAACGTTTTCTGGGCATCGCCGTCTTGACCAAAAACGCGATGAAACTTTTCTTGGTAAAAAAGGTTTATGAAAGGAACGAAAACCCACAAGGGCATTAGCGGGGTCGAGCCGTCGAGGTCTTAATGCGATCACGATCATACCTTCAAGGATGACTTAAACTCTTACATGTGAGCGTAAATTTTCGGGGTTTGAGTAGTTTTCTCTTTCAGACTGTGAAGTTGTTCAAAAGAGAACAAATTTCCATTGATCTACAAATGGATATTGAACGTCTCGGTCGTTATCTCATCAAAAGGGGTGTGTTTGTTTGTGTAAGCTACTTTTTCCGTCATGATATCATCTGATCGTTCTCCTTCAGGTTTGAGCCTCGAAGACATCAGGCAACACATACGTGTTGGGTGGATTTACAACACGATCGCTGCTATGAGTTGATATGAGGGTCCTCCAGAGTCCTTCGCTTTTTACTAGAACGTCGCTCAAGTTTGAAAATGCTCTTTGTGCCATTGCACTTACCCCATTCACTTACGCAGAATATGCTCGTTGTCATCAATCTCTTCATTTTTCTCATTCATCTCATCCTAAATAGTGCTAATGTTTCATAATGCTTTTCAAGGTTCCATAATTTTCCTTAAGCTGCATCGCTACTCATCAATAACTTTTCTTAATTTATCATCACATTGTAAGCCTCATGAATGTAAAAAGACAAGTGACTAATGTAAATGCTGTAATGAGTGTAAAACTGTTGCTTTTGTTCATTGTTACCTGTACAGTCACAATGTGCTCCCTTGCTACATCGATGCGATGTGGGAGGACTGGAAGTAATTCCTCATGGGTGGTGAAGATTAAGATAGCGGTTGTAGCAACCCGTGGGATTCCAAGAAATCAAGGCAGTTTTTGACGCATCAAACGACCCTGCATAGGAAATTGGAATCCGAGGATTTACAGATGAGCTGAAACAAGGTACGTATTGGGGTGTAAGTCGTTTGGCTTGGCGCATTCTTTCCAGCAGTGCGCTGCCTTTTACGAGAAGCTTGGCCGTCGAGAAGGGAGGAAGTGCTTTCTGGCTGGTCGAAGCTGCTCAGCACTGGGCGGCGGCGGCGGGCGGGCGTGGTACTGTAAAGAAAATCGTTGGTATGTACAACTCTGGGAAACTTGGTGAAGTCGGGCGTAGGCGGAAAGAACATTTCGACAGGCTTCCAAACTCAGAACAGCTCGCAGATCAAGCCAGCAGCTGGCCAAAATGCATTCTGTACGGAAGATAAGGTTTGTCGAGCGATAGGTTAGTTAAGACTGGTAAGGACTTTGAAAGACTTACGGCATAAAATGGGAACACTACGAAAATCATTGCAATGAGTACGAAAAAAGATCGGACAGTCAGAAATCTGGTTGCAAGGTCTTCAAAACTGACTGCAGCGTTTAGGAATTAGGTGAAAAAGGCTGTTTGTCTCAATCTGTGAGGGGCACACACTCAAACAAAAAAAACTTCCATACTGTATTCTTAGGAGAAGCGGGCAATTATCCTCCAGCCCCTTACAAATAGGGGAAGTAGGAGAAAATAGGAGAATGGGTAACCGTTCATGAAACATTTATTTGACTTTTCTTTCAACAAACAAGGTTTTCCCAATTTAGCTATGATAAATGGATAGACTCTCATCTTCATGGGCAAGTTTAAAATGCAATTTTTAGAAATCTATCGTATTCTTCTTTCAGATTCCCTAGACGCTCATTTTGAGAGCATGTTGCCACCTTAAAAAGTTGTCAATCAGAGCGATGAATGACTGGTACTGTAACACTCTTGCTGACCATATTTGGAGGAGAATCTTCAGCATCTCTCACAACACAGTGTTTAAAAAACTTTTTAAAGTTGTGTAAAACCTGAAAATCGACGAATGCTTGTTGTTGACAGACTATTACTCTGAACTTTACTCACCTGCTCGGCTGCCTCCGTTTTTGGCAAGCCGAGGCTTAATAAATTCATGATGACGGCACCTAAATCGGACACTTTAGCAACTTCATCAATGAGTTCTGAGTATTAATCAGGAAATTTGGCATATACTAAGAATGTGTCTTGCAGATTTAGTACGGAAGATGTCTGTGCGCTCGCCACTAGGTCTTTGTGAAGGATCTGTCCTTACCACCCCTTATCAATCTTTACCATTGATAACCGTGAGATGCTTTTCAAAAGCAAGTGGTTTATTCCTCCTACAATTTCTGAAAGTCGTTAGTTGATCATTGTTTCGATTAATGTACTGCATTCTGGAAAATTCGTCCTCTACTGTTTACCAAGTCTTGCTAGTCTTTCAAAGAAAGCTCCTAAGATTGCTTATGAGTTCAGCGACGGGGTTCGAAGAAGCTCTTGGCTGTTTAGGAAAAATCCTTTGAAGATCTGGTAGCAATGATGCCCATGATGATCAATATACAGCCTCTGGGCAAGGCAGTTTTAAAAACACTCAAGACCTAAAGACCTACCTCTTTTGTTCAGTATTTTAAAAATATTTTCCACACTTTCTGACGTGAAAAACCCTGGGACAGGGCAACGTACGAACGACTCCAGAGACTTTTTAGATTCATGTGTACATGCATCTATATGTATGACGTCGTATCTTTGCTCTGAAATTAAGCAAGCTATATTTTATAATTCGATCGTAGTCATTTAAATTAATGATGAAAACTTAGTGCATATCACGCCGAGTACGTAACTGTGGAATTCAAATTTCAGTCATTTTCACGGGTGTGGGACCATTCGTGCGATTCTGGGTGCGCGCGGCAAATTGCGCGGCGAAATTCGGGTGCGATTTGAGCGGCTTTGGCGCCTATTATAGGGGCCCAAACTTGAAGTAGAATAGGTTAGTATGACGAGCTGATTCTACTAGTCTACTCTACTTCAAAGTTGCGGACCCAATAATAGGCACTGAAGTCGTCAGAATAGCTATGAATTTCGCCGCGCAATTTGCCGCGCGCACCCCAGAATCGAACGAATGGTCCATCCCCTCCCCCATTGTCCCTATCAAAAGCACGAAAAAAGCACAGTAGCGCAGGCAGGCAGATATTTGCCATCTAACTAGCACCTGTGTCAGTATTTTCCCCAACCGTTGCAGCTCTGAACGGAATTTGAGTCTCCGATCAACCCTTTATGGCTATGTCGCGACTTACGTGCGACCGTCAAGCCCGTGGTACACTGGGAAGAAACCGTGCTCCAATGCAGGACCCCAACGCACAACGCGCAAATGGCAGAACGTTCTAGAAGCGCGGGAAGGTTATCGAGCAAGCCAGCGCCTGGCAACTAGCCGGCAGTATTTCGTCATCCCGCCGTGTTAAGTGGTTGTCCTTGCCAAGCTCGTCGTCGTCAGCCGATGTCATCAGTATCCACGTCCTCAGTTGGAGCTATTACCATCAGCACGGCGGACCAGCTTTTATTGGAATTAAACGTATAATGATAATCTTTGTGATTCCACTAAAACGTATGATCGTTGATTATCTCAGTCCTCAGTTCGTCCCTCACTCTTGTTCTTGTTAATGGGAGCCGGAGGGGATAAGGGCCGTTTAGTCCACCCAGTGGCAGGTCATCAGGCACTCAGGTGCGACTATCCCCTCAAGAGACAGTGTGGACCCTAATAATACCCACAGTCTGCCGTGACCTTGTGTTCCCCACCGATGCGTAAGAACTCCCTGGAAAGGGGTCGCGACACTGTACGGGTATGTACAGTGCCCTTGTCTATCTGATATCCAATGCACTACATGGTTCTTTGCTGCAACTAAAAAGGTTTCTGCATAAGTCTCAATTTTTTTTTGTTTACGCAGACTAGCTTCAGTCAGACAGAAGTTTTCCATCGTTGTCCACAATGGCGTGCTGCTGTCGAGTAGGCAGGTCGGTGGTATCTTTGTGATGCGGTTTTGAAGCAAAAAAGTGTTCGTGTTCGCTGTTCAGCGCCTGCTTCGGAACATTCCTCAATGAAATGCTGGTTCAGAACCCGATTCAATAAGTAGTTGGTGGGGGAGGGGGGAGGGGGGATGTGTAAGAGACTTTCAGAAATGCTCGAGAATTTCCTTGGATTCATATTGACTTTGTACCGGAGGAAGTGATCCCGAGCAGATGCAACATTTAAGACCTGTGGATGCCTTTTCTGTCTTTGCGAAATGCAGAAGGGTTATTACCAGGACCTCCAGAACATGCGCTGCGCAATGAATTTCTTTCAACTCTCCGGCACGTTCCCTAGTAGCTCTGTTCATTCCCCCTTTTTCCAACGTTGCTGAGCTGTTCCAGTTTGATTTTTCCGAAAAGCTACAGAGGATGGTTACGAACAGACGGACAGAAGGACATCTATGTTTTATGCATTGTAAGTATTCTAAAACGTTTCGAAGTAAAGTTATGAATTTTAGTTGAAAGAACGTCTTTGAGAGCACGCGCCGCCCACCATTGCCGTAATTTTGTTTACCTTACCCATGCACAGCATACCTCAGACTCATCCACTCCAACAATTTTTTGACCTGCAGGCCTTCTGTGGAAGCTAATTGTAAATTAGTGCAGTGTCTGAGTTGACCCCTTCCCAGCCTCTGCTAATTCTTTGTGATATATACAGTAGCGCTCAAAAGTCTTCGGTGAAATGCTTTGACGCTTTTTCGTTCATGACGTTTCTCTTAGTAAACCAAATCGCGCGAAATTTGGATATGTTTGACTAGGGCATATTTCACATTACCCAACACTATCTGACTACAAAGCTGTAATATCACAGGTAGAGGAAGGTGTTTGCTGCGGTAGCAAATTTTGTTAAGAGTAAAGTTGTTGACTTCTGCACTTATTCGCACCATATGCGCGTTTTTTTATGCGCGTCTCAGCTATTGTGTTTGGCATTACCGCTCGTACCCTTTAGACAGGACAAAAAGGAAAGATTCTAGAAGGACCATCGTATTTTCAGTCGATTTTTAATTCAAGCTCTTTGGGATATCTGGAATATGATCAGATTGCAGGTCAATATTGGTAAATAATCACAATACACCCACGCTCCAAATATAGAAATTTCGCATGATTAGATCCAGTAGGAAAGGAGTTGCAACTGAAAATTACGGCTGAAGGACCATATCACCGAAGACTTTTGAGCGCTACTGTATATATTATAGAAGTGGTAATGCTTGGGAACAAATTGGCAAGGCATCCACTACCACCGTTATACTGAGCATGCCAGATGAAGTGTTTCGGAAACCTTTTGATCTTGACTATAATTATGCCTTTTGTATTGTGTTCATACACATTTGGTATGAATTTTTTACCATTAATAAAAATTTGGTAAGCCTAATAATTGTTGGGGGATTAAGTAATTCCTGAATTTCGCGTTTGATATATCGATCGTAGTGATGCTCGAGGGGTGTATCGCGGTTGTTAAGCCGCGATTGCACGCGCCGTCTTATAATCTTCCTCAACAGCAAGTCAAATATCGGTTTCGCTCCCGAAGCGCGGGAAGCGTGGGTGTATATGACGGCAGGCCTACGGACTACTTGAACTCGGTTCCTTTAAATTTGCCGGATGCGTCATTTTTCTGCCCTCGTCTGGCGCACTCCCGTTTGATGTGGTCTTTGCGTGTTGTGCTCGCCTGTCCAATGGGGCCCCCACCACCACCGCCGTAGGCTTCACCCCGGGGTGTTTTTCTCTGGGCTCTAGCCTCTTGCCGTCAGAGATGCAGAGAAAGTTCAAGTAGTCACGTAACCATGACGGCACCACACCGCTCAGGGCACCATTTGACTTCGCGCCCCTTCCCGGTAATCTCCACATCTCACTTATCGATCTGAATCCTTACAAAAGCTGACTTCTAATCATTTCTTTCTACTCTAACGCGCCGCCTCTTATCATCTTAAAGATGAAAGTTTTTGACATCACTTCAATAACTGGTATTGCTCACATCGTTTTACCTGTAGTAGTTTCTTGTGTAATCTTTGTTTGAACTGTTTTCTTTTGCATCATTTTTTTCTAACTGTTGCACTTATATCATTCTATTGGCCTCAGTTCTCTGCATCCTCATGACCGTAGAAGACTTTTGCGCCGTCTATGTCTTGATCGTTTCACTGTTGTTGCAATTGTTGATATGAGGTTTAATTACCCAAGTTTGAGAGTGCGCCCAATAAAGCCGTCTCGTCATTGTTGCTAACGCGTGGCAGGTTATTTCATAACTACGACGAATCTATTTTCTACACACTGCAACCGCTTTAGGGTGCAATGAGATGGAAAAGTAATCTTCAAAGCGAAAACTTCGATTCGTCCAGATACATTTGGGGCGCACAGCATGCTCATCAGATGACAGTAGTATGAACAAAAAAATTGACAAAAAAGAGCCGTAAATTCACCTTCCATAGCAGCTTTTCTCAAAAACTCGATACCATCCATGACAATTACTCGATGCAAGTTGTCCAATACTAGATTGAACCATTTCTGAGCAATTTTCACCATCTTTGACTCTATTTCTACGACCGTGATATTCATCTGGAACAGTTTTTCATAGGTACACCATCTGATTGGTGTCCAATATCATGTATGAGGTGAGCGTGATTTAGATGTTAAAATAGGCAAAGACTCCGCGTGTCGCGCATTACCACGACCCTCTGACCTCTTTGTCGGAAGATATTTCTTTGTGTCCAACCACCCAGATGTGTGGTGGTCTGAGTTGAGGCGCGATTCGCCTTAGCACCAGTCTGCTTAGAGAAGAGCTTACGAGTGGCGGTCGCCCTCGAACTCTTATTGCCGTCTCACCGTTATTCTGCTCACTAAAAATTATACTGAACCACTGTTTTAAATAGGGAGATACACTCCCAGTGGCTGGAATATAAAGTTCCGCCACATCACGTGGAGCTGCCTTTCGCTCCTCTTCGTGCTAATGCTTACGATGTGGTCGTGATATCTGAGCTTAGTAGGAGTTGTTGTGCCGGAAGTGAGGACAGAAATGTCTTCGAATGGGAGATCCACAGGTTCGGCCACTTCGTCTGTGGCACACGATTGGCTGGGGCTTGATTCGAAAAAATGCCATCACAAAAGATTTTTCGAAGGCGTTAAAGAAGGTCGAACAGGCAAGCAGAGGTACAGATCAGTGTAGCTAAGTGCGGTCAACCCATGAGTTTTCGAGATCTTGCGAGGTTAGGTGTGTGGGGATAGGGGTGAAATGCATTACGTTTCCTTTCGAACGGCTATCGGCGTGGGTCTCATTCGTCGTCGGATTAGCTCTCCTATCTCTGTATTGATATACAGTAGCTCAGGCCCACGCCTGATTCTATCACACTTTAGAAGTACTTCTTGTTTTTTTGATCAAGATAAATTACTTTAGTGATTTTGGTTATCTTGTGCATCGAAGTGCTACTGAACTTGATGGCTTAATGAATAAAAGCAGCAAAAGAATAAAATGTAAATTACATACAGAAGAATATCGGTGAGCTGACTATGTCGCAGAACTAGGACTGACGTGTTTATACTATGGGTCAAAGACCTGGAAGTCAAAGGAGATGCCTGTCATAGGTGATATCAAAACCTTAACAAATAGGGTTTGATGTTCTACAAAGAACATCGCTTGGCACGTCAATATGAAAAATTGCCGCTTCGAAGTAAGAAGCAGCAGAAGATAGAAGCTGGAGCTACTTTCACCGTGCTGCACTTCTGCTTCAAACCACAGTTTACGACTCAACTCTTCCTTTTATATATCCATAAAGCTCTGTGCTTGATGAGTTACACTGAAGCGTCTCACCTTGGAATACAAACTGTGGAGGTAGGAGTTAATATAACCTGCTCCTAAGCCAATAGACAGAATCTGGGAATTAGCTCCACGATCCATTCTAACGGCACCGCTGACGAACATTTCTTCTGAAAGATTCAAATATGAGGTCACAGTTGCACAATCAATTCCTTATAAACAATCGGGGCATCAGTGATGGTGGTGCTTTAACTATCATGATCATTTTCGCTTCTACTCCATACATCTTCTTGTGGCATAGCAAAATGATGACGTAGCGTTAAGGTGTCGCGGTAGAAATTTCTGAGTCGGCTCTGCCCCTCAACAAGGAACATTGCTACGACATGATTTACAGCCAAACACTAGGATAATGAAGCAGTCATGCTGCTCAATAGCCACCTTCTCGCCGGAAAGTNAGCTGAAGGCCTTTTCCACATCCATCCATTCTTCCTTAACCGATATCTCACCCGTAAATGTGAAGGTACAATTGAAGACGAATACCGAGATTCACGGTGAGTCAATCTTAGACAGTACCAGTTCACTATGGTCGAGTTGTCATGAAAGTCCTCCCTCTAAATAAAAGATCGCAGTAATCAGGAACATCATTCCTTTTCTTCTCCATTGCTAACAAAAAAGAGTACCTTCAAACTCCATAGGATAGAGGTTCGAAGTCAATTTAAACTACAACAAACTACATCGGGCCAGTGGATGAACAGCGATGTCACGGATCACGCAAACAATTCGATGGTGGAAGTTTTTCGTGTACATCTGGTGAATGTGGATATAATAACGGAACTCACATCCACAGATTATGATCATTTACTTCCATTTAGCTTCAAGAATTTCACATACAGTAGAGCCGTTCGTATAGAAAGAGGAAAGAAGTTGAGGGTCAACCGTTCTAGAAGCATCATAAGGCGGCTAAAATATCGAGCTTTCCGCTTGTCTCTCTTGTAAAGCTTGGGAACCATGTTGGGAGGAAAAAACGCGATGGATTTCCTTGACTCTGCCTTTTATGCACTGCTGTATTTATTGATGCCAGTGTGTGCGTACTATGCAGGCAATCTGTGAAGTCCTCAATACCCATCGAAACTTTTTCAATCTGTATGACCAGTCGATATCTCAGGTCATGACACTTCCAGGACAGCTTCTATTGCACAATATATTTGATGATAGCACCAGCAGCTTAGGGGACAGCACTGGCGGAGGCTGCTGCAGTACTCGCAGTAGCATGTATGCGTGGGATTAAACATGCTATTTCAGAGCGTGGACCCGTATACTACTATGAGTTTATAGACGGCTGCTTTAAGTGGTTCATCCTAGCCGAGATAATCACATCTGTTACAGGTTGCTGAAACTCAATCCGAAAGAAACCAACCAGAGATTGGCTCAATTCTCTCAATGTTAAAGGCACAGTTCACGATAAAAATATTTTCTGAAATTGCTCTATAGTTTGGATTCGAGGCTCCCCTCATACCATACATGCCTTTATGAGGTTCTAAGAAGACCTGGATAGGGCACTATGAGAGGCCAGAGATTGTATCGTGTGAATGCCGAACTCATCCTGGACGAGTTCCAACGGCTTTGTAGAAGATGCACTATCTCAAGAGGCTCCCATGTAGGGAGTTCAAACAGCTTGTCATAACCCATGGCGACAGTGGAAGGCAGTATCGGACAATTCCGGCTTGATTTGATCATTTCTTTCAGCAATGGAAGCAAGTTAAATCTCGTCCAAACCTTCCCCTTCTTACAGGCCATTACCGTCACGGTGATCTCGTACAAGCTCCACTTCTAAAAAGCCTCGAAGTAGGCGGATTTTCTCGCTTTCTTCGCCAGCGATATACTTCTCTACATCAACACCCGCTTTTTAACCTGAAAAAGGTACCTCAAAATCATCGTGAACTGTGCCTTCAAGGCCGCATGACTGCGAATACCTTTAGGACTGAGCAGATCGCTTTCCAAGCAATCTGTTCGAAATAATCATTGTTTTGTTCGTGAACTAGGAAAGTTGTCAAAACAACCCTTATTATTCTGAACACCTGATCACTGCTATTGCAAATCAAGCCCAATGCAATAGAAACGTGCAATTTATTTATCGATATCGATATTGTACACGGCCTGTTTCGTCGGAACGCAAAGGGAAACAAACAACTGCTACAAAACATCAAGTTTTACAATTGAGCAGAGACCAGGGATGGTGAAACAGAGTGGTCACGAGGACATGGAACATGGAGGCAGATTTCCATTTTGTGCTCCATTCATATCAGACGACTGAAGTGCAGCCATGCGATCATGAGCAGGAATGGACTACTTAGGAATTGGCGAGGGTTGTAGATCTCAAAACATAAGCATCAACTATTCCGGAATCGCCTATGTGATCGTCCTTAGACAACACCTTTTTAGTTCATTTTGTCATTTGGAAGGAACGGAGAGAGCATGTCATACGGCGTCGTGTACTTAATATCGTGTCTGAACTGTGGAGATGGATGAAGCAACACCTGGAAACGCCTGGTAGCACAAACAGGTCCAGAATGGCTTCTCCTAAGCGCGTAGGGTATCATGTCATAGGACTTTGAGGTGACGGTCACTATATTATCACGTGAATCCGACATATCAGCGTTGCGAACTTTTGAGGCATTCCTGATCGTTAAATCAATACGGAGAAAGTGTGTGCAGCGATGACCGCGAGCTCGCGCCCATCGCGCTGTGCAGCTTTTGACCCAGCAGGTGATCACCCAATAGGTCCTTTCGGCGAGGCGTGTTCTAGGAACTCAAACACTGACCGATAGAAGGTTTTAGAATTGGGTCAGTGGAGCGGGGCTCACTCTATCGAAAAAATGATTTGCTCCTGCTCGGGATGACTGGTGGATCGCACCCTATCCTATAGTTACTTCTACAAACCCCGGCCTCCTATCTGTAACTTACGGGTCCACTGAATTATCCTGAGGATTGAAATTTGTTGGGAAGTATGGTTCTTGAGTAGCTTCCGTCTTCTCAGACTCTAAGAAGGCGAAAGCTTCCAAAAGTTAGCCAAATAATGACTAGTTAAAAGTTTTGGTCGCACAGGGTACCCGTTCCTATTCGAAAAGCGGAAGTATTGGTTTGGAATAATTCATCGACAAAGAAGGAAGTGAGCGATTCGCCAATTTCGCGAAGAATTTCTAAAAGTAAGGAAAATATATGACAAGCTTATTGAACTTCTTACATGGTCTTCCTTGAAATTGGTGCAGCCTCTGCGAAGCCGCTGAAACTCGTCCGAGGATACGCGCGGTGCAATCACTGAGCCTTTATAACTCCATAACAGTCCGTTTTTCGACCTAACAACAACAGGTATGGTATACGAGGGACCTAGAATTCATCTGTGGGGGAAGTTTGGAAACCGTTTTTACCATGGATTGTGCCTTCAAGCACTTAAAAGCACAACTAAAAAAATGCCGAGATTCACTGAAAATTGAACTTAAGCAGTCACGCAGTCAGGTTTTGACATTGATCAAGTAATGAGAGGCGACATTGATGTCTTCTCGGCTTCGAAGCCGCTTGTCCTTACATCAAAGGCCCAAACGAATTACGTACGCGTTGACAGGCTCTTGTGGACAACGATGATCATTACCTACTAAATCAATGTTAGATTCCATGAAAATAGTTATATCGAAGTTCGGGCGGACAATAAAGGAATCGAAACTTATTGCACATTGAATATTTGGGCATTTGTTATAACACGACGCTCACTGTGAGTGAGGATGGTCAATGCTAGTTTCAGTGTTCTACGCTTAGTTTTGATGAATCTATAAAACAAATGGAACTTCACCTATCATCAAAGGAGTGTAGCAGTTTAAGTTTGTAGCTGTCTTATCCGGTTGCCATTCACTTGTGTTGAGGGTGCGCATGTTGGGATCTGCAAAAGACTTTGAACGATATATATATATATATATATATATATATATATATATAGAAGAGTCAAAAGGAATTGGTGTACCGAGTTGGGAGCTACTAGCAATCATCTTACTATTAGCCAAATACCAACAACTGACAAGACCAATAGGTTGGCAATAGAGTTCTTCGACAAAAGAAGCAGGTTATTTCGAGTTTATTTCTAGAATTTTCAAAATCGTGGATCTGAATTATACCGACGCAGCCTTCCCTCACTTTTGAGCAAATCACTGATGTCTCTGTTAGTAACTCCGGAGACTGTGTCTCAGAGAACTCATTGACTGCCGTATTCACATCATACTAACCAGGGAAGGATCCCAAGTCGAAGTGGCCATTCGAAATGAGACCTACACTGCTGGGCGTAATTTTCGATGCTGAGTTCAAATCTGCTTTCCAAATTTGCCGAGCGTTTCTGTGAACGGAGTTATGGTGGGGTGGTTTCAGGGAGCTTAACATGAGAAAACTTGAGTTACATGGATGTTCCTCACCTCTCAACGGCGGCTTGGTGTAATGGTAATCGTGACGCTTCATGTGCGAGAGATCACGGCTCGGTTTTTGCGGAGGACAGAGTTTTTGCATTATAAAGAATTTTTCTCTTCAGGACTAGAAAACACTCTCATGGTGATTTTGCCACGTTTTATGACCTTTTAATGCTTTGCTGTTACCTTCCCCTACCTACCTACCTACCTACCTACCTACCTACGTGCCTACCTACCTACCTACCTATCTACCTACCTACCTACCTACCTACCTACCTACCTACCTACCTGTTACAGAGTGGGAGATTCCTCCGTGCGCAAAATTCGAGCTCCGGGCGAGTAAAACGCATATGATGAGCAATGATGATGCTAAAGTGGGTGTTGATGCTAGCTTGGGTGCGATGGTGCATAGCAGCTCCGGAATCATCAACACCGGCACTGTTGATAATGGGCTCGTGGACATCATTCAAAGACCAGGAAGCTATTCAGTTTGCTTGCCACCCTGTGAAGGGACACCCTTCTGGAGACTACCATGAGGCTAATACAGCCAATAAAAGCTCATTATTTCCTTCAAAAATGTGGTTGAACGCACCACCTCATATGTAATAGCTCATGATCTCAACTTTTGCGTGCACACACGAGACCCCATTCTTTGCCTATTACCTATCGCTTGTCTACTTTCAGTACTGTGCTGTTAGATTTAGCAAATTCCTCTTT